AATAGTTTTCTTACATGAAGCCCCCACCGTTATACTTTTAGATCCAAGTTTTATATTAGTGCCCCTCAGGATTGGATCTTTCAGCTTCAGCTCAACCAAGACTTAAGCATATGGCCATTAGTACTACAAGCCCCTGGAATTTGAACATTAAGGATCATGCCCATCATTCTACCAATCTTCAGGATTGTTTCAACAGTTATCCAGTGTAGAAGGAGGTTCTGAATATGAATCCAAATCTTGATGTACTCATCATCTTCTTTAAATTCAACTGCTCCTTGTTTCCACACTCAAGCAAGATATATTTGTTGTCAAATGACCATGTTTTCCCTTTAGAATCTTGGCCTTATCTTCTTCTAATTGGAATAAATATCGGAAGTTGTTTATCCCCAGACTTCACACAGAAAAAAGGTTTCTTTGTAGACAGATCTCCGCTAAAATAGCTTTGAGGCTGTTGAAGTTAGCTTTCTTTTCGCCATGTATTTTCCCAATTAGACTTAGTTGGCATTTTTTTAGCCACGATGTTACATCATCTGTCGAGAGTTTGATGTCTTTCTCCTCTTTCGCCGAAATCTAAATTTCATCAATTTATTTGTTGTCTCTTGCGTAATTGGACCCCGAACTCCAACCAAAAGCCCCAAACGAAAATCTGAAGTTGAGAACCTAGCTAACCACAACCTTGTAGAAATAGCGCAATGAAGACCCTGAAAGTAAAAAACGAAAAACATGACAAGAATAAGAAAAAGAAAAGTCACACAAGAGAAATAGAAAGAGAAACTACCAAGAAGAAAAAGGAGAAAAACTACTCATCTAATCACCACCCATCTCGAAGACGAAAACCCTAATAAAAACTAGACTCAAAGCCAATCAATTTAACAAAGAACATAAAGGAGAAATCTGATTGTCGTATCCAACAAATGGAAGGATGATCTCAAGAGAGAAAAAACCAATCAGAAGAACTACCTTACTCTAGATTAAGGAGATCTATTTTTTTTTCAAAACCATGAGAATTTATAAATAGAACACATAATTACAACTAGAAAACATCTAACAACTGAATCTAGTTAGAAGACATTTCCTAGGGGAGCCTAAACTACCACAAACGCACCCATGATAATATTATTCCAAAAGGAGAATACACGCTCCCAGCAAGATAATATACTAAAAAAAAAAAATAACAGAAAATCACATAGCACGCACAAACCTAACACACAAACAAGAAAAACTAAAACACAACCTAATACATAGAATACGGTCCTCTCCACCAGCCCGAAGCTCGTCCCAGGACACGGATCTAGAAACTCTCTTACACGATGGCTAACTACATCCGGCTCAAAATACCAACACACTCCAGACGGCCCAAACATACCAACCCTAGGAGGCCCACGCCAAAAACTCTCTCCCACACAAACAGGTGACCGCAGTCGAGGCCGGACAAAGCCCCAGACCACCCCACCGGTGAACCCCAACCCTCCAACACCAGGAAAAGAAGAGGAGAAGTGGGAGGGGAGCGCGAAACTCAGGAACGATCACCACGAGGACGACAATCGACCCCGACGATCTCTATACCGTCGTCGTGAAGCCGGAAAAACACATCAAGTCCGGCCATGGCCACCTGAAACAGGGGAAAATCCACCCGGACTAGCGAACCGGCGAGCACCCACCGAGCCACGATCTCGCATGCCGCTAGACGAAGCCGCGCGGGTGTGAGCCTCTACCGGAGGGGAGGTGCTAAACGGAAAATGGAAGAAGAAGCGGTTGGATTTAGGGATTTTGACCGAAACGCATTTTAGAGAGAGAAGAAAAAATTAGTTTCCACTTGTAATGATTAAGGAGATCTCCAAATCCCTTTTTTTATTTTTGGTACAGGGACCTTCCGGTTTTCAGATCCATATGGGAACCGACTAATCCGGAATCGAGCCAGGTAGGACCACAAGGGCGGCAAAGCTCTCCCTCAAGAGTTTTAACATTGCTGCATTCTCAGGGCTCGAACACGAGACCACTAGTTAAGCTGTAAGAGACCCAAACCATCTCATCCAAGCGCTCTTGTATAGATCTCCAAATCCCTTGATATAATTTTCTATCATTTTCCTTTTTTATGTTAGCCTTCCCAAATTACTCTAAATGATCCCCCTCATCCGTGCGAGCACAACCGAAATACCTGCAACCAAGTAGGATTACCACTGTACCCCTTGCGGTTATGACAACAATAGCCCCAGAGATATCTGACATGCCTACACCTGATTGGCCCACGCACCGCTAGAGCAACGTATTTATCCTACGCGTGCCCGCACTTCGCCCCATCCCCTGCTAAACTATATAAATCCCCAAAGCCCCGCCACCGAGCGGCCACCGAATCCGGCCAATCTCAGCCGCTGGCCGAGCAATTCGCATCTCAAAAACCCTCACCGCACCGTGAAACGAAATGACATCAACCTTACCGCAAAACCAAGAGCCCCCCTCCGCGCGAGAGGAATCTCTCCGCCTATTGCCCTCATCTGGCGCCGTCTCCACCAGGACGGCGGAGCCCGACGAGGAGGCGGCGTTCGAAGCCGGCGAGAAGATCCCGATCTGCGGCGACGGATTCGAGCTGGACTCCTCGGATTGCTCCGCGGCGCCGCCGTTCTCGTTCCGGAAGCTGTGGCTGTTCACGGGTCCGGGATTCCTGATGAGCATAGCGTTCCTGGATCCGGGGAATTTGGAGGGCGATCTCCAGGCGGGGGCCGTCGCCGGGTACTCGCTGCTGTGGCTGCTGATGTGGGCGACGGCGATGGGCCTGCTGATCCAGCTGCTTTCGGCGAGGATTGGGGTGGCGACGGGGCGGCACCTGGCGGAGCTCTGCCGGGAGGAGTACCCGTTTTGGGCAGGGATCGTGCTGTGGTTCATGGCGGAGGTGGCCCTCATCGGGGCGGATATTCAGGAGGTGATTGGGAGCGCCATTGCGATCCAGATTTTGAGCCGCGGTGTGCTGCCAATTTGGGCTGGTGTGCTAATTACTGCTTCTGATTGGTAATTCCATTAAAAAAAAAAATACAATAAAATTGAAACCTTTATTTAATTTTGAATTTCATTGGTAGTATTAATTAAATAAGATGATATTTTTTTTCCTTAAAAACAAGATGGAACTGCAAAAAAAATGGTGAAGTATAGCATAGTTAAAAAATTTATTATCATGATGAATTTCATTTTATTTGATCTCTTTTACTTATTTTACTTGCTTTCCTGGTAATTTTTAGTTAATTTGGTTTAAGATCATTATTTTTTACTTAGATTTTTTATTTTTGTGCTCTTAAGAAAAGAATTTGTTGCAGTATGCAATCTGCTTTTGAAAAAGTAGTTCACTAAATCTGCTTTTAGTGGAAACAGAGAGAGCATCTTTATATAAAAGATAATTTTTTTGGGTAGAAATTCTTATCTCCAAATCTGATGCTTTTACAAAATTGCTGTGTTTTGATAGTTGAGTGAGGGAAGAATCTAACTTTTTGTCCATTATATATATATAAAAAAGTACTTTTTCTTGTGTTACTTTTTGAAATGACAACAAGGTTTTGGGGGTGTTTTCCTACTCAGAAAACCAATGCTTTTTAGCTTTATGGTAGTTGATGACTTCTCTTATTCTTTGAGGTTATTATCTGATATTAGTTATGTTTTCTTCTTTGAATGTTCCTTACAGCTTTATGTTTTTACTTCTTGAGAACTATGGAGTGAGGAAGTTGGAAGCTGTGTTCGCAGTTCTGATTTCGACTATGGCTCTATCGTTTGCTTGGATGTTTGCGGATGCCAAGCCTAGCAAAACCCAACTTTTAATTGGTTAGATGCATCCTTACAATTTTGAACATTAAATGGTTAAAACAGCGAAATATACTATAGAAACCCAATCAGTCGACAACCCAGTCGTCCTTCAAAATTACATGCACCCTTTGAAACTTGTTGGTCCATTACAAATTGTTCTCATAAATAAGGTATAACTTAGATAGATATATATAAATCTTGTGAGGGTAACTGTAACACTGAAAGATAACTGGAGTTCCTTTTTAAATAAGCTTAATCTCAGGATAGTTTTTCTTTTCCGTAGTCATAAAAAGAAATGATGGCCCACACTTGTCATAAATCTGATTATTTTATGATTTTAAAACAGGACTCTTGGTCCCAAAACTCAGCTCGAGGACAATCCGCCAGGCAGTAGGCGTCGTGGGGTGCGTGATAATGCCACACAATGTGTTTCTACACTCGGCCTTGGTACAGTCGAGGGAAATCGACCCCAGAAAGAGTGGTCAAGTCCAAGAGGCCCTCAACTACTACTCGATTGAGTCCACCGCCGCACTCGCAGTCTCCTTTATGATCAACTTATTTGTCACAACCGTCTTTGCGAAGGGATTTTTCGGAAGTGAACAGGCAAGCAGTATAGGCCTTGTTAATGCGGGCCAGTATCTGGAGGAAAAATATGGTGGTGGTATATTTCCAATACTTTACATATGGGGGATAGGGTTATTAGCAGCTGGGCAGAGTAGCACTATCACAGGAACTTATGCTGGGCAGTTCATAATGGGAGGTTTTCTCAATTTACGGCTTAAGAAGTCGGTTAGGTCTCTGATCACAAGGAGTTGCGCGATTGTGCCAACTATGGTGGTGGCTTTGATTTTTAATAAATCCGAGTCATCTCTGGACGTGTTGAATGAGTGGCTTAATGTGCTGCAGTCGATGCAGATACCTTTTGCGCTTATTCCACTTTTGACCCTGGTGTCGAAGGAGGAGCTGATGGGAGTATTTAAGATTGGCCCTGTGCTTGAGGTAACTACTAAACTTCACAATTATTCAATTGTTTTTCAAGAATTGAGCAGCTGGCTTAAATATTTTTGTGAATGTGGAAAAGGTTGACTTTTGAAATGCTTTTTTCTAGAGAAGGGTGTAAAAGTAAGGAAAAAATATCTCGAGGTTGTTTTTTTGTAAATTTGGAATTGAACTGTTTGTTTTTCGTTTGGTCATAGGAAAAGAATGCTCTTTGTACTCGTCCCTTTTGAAATTATAATTGTAAATAGATAAGCAATTCACGTATTTATGAAAAGTTCTTTTGCTTGAAAGGTTTGTGCGAATGTGTGATACAAAATCAATAAATTTCATTTTTTTAAAAAATAAAAATAAAATCGCCAAGGCGTTCTTAAGTAGTCCAAAGCTCGGGAGTTTTTCTTTTTAATTCTTTTATTATTATTGTTATTATTATTATTATTATCTCTTGTAGATATGCTTCTTTCTCTCACTCTTGACATTAGATACGGGCATCTAAGACTTTTTTTCTGTGTATGTGTGTGTGTGTGTGTGTGTGTGTGTGTATTATAGAGGGCTGCTTGGACGGTAGCTGCACTAGTGATGGTGATTAATGGATATCTTTTGTTCCATTTTTTCGTCTCTGAAGTTAATGGGCTGTTGTTTGGCTTCCTAGTCTCTGCTGGAACTGCAAGTTATGTAGCGTTTGTGGTATATCTTATTTCGCGTAGCAATAGTGAGCTTTCCAATTGGATAAGCCAATTTGTACCTAAGAGATTCACTAATCCTGGAAATTAGAAGCCGTCTGAACTCTTGTCTGGTTGAAAATTTTGAGTTCGGTTGGTTCATTGGACATGTCAAGTTCCCGACCTCAAAATAAAGGGCTGATTATGGTAAATACCCGAGTTTTAGCCTAATTGCAAAAAACCTGGTTATCTTTGAAAATTACGAATACCTCCACATTTGTTCCTCCTTTCACAAGAGGATCCTTCAGAGCTGGAGTTACGACACTCAAGGGGTGCAATTGTAATTTTGGAAGATATCTGGTGTCTTTGGGAAATCAGGCTTGATACCAAGCAATCTCGAACGTCATGCAGAGGAGGCTTCTTCACGCAGACTCGGGTGCTAATTTCCTGCAGTGAACATAGCACTGAACGTGAACTTTGTTTCTTCGGCTTCAGTTTTGCTTAATTTATGATGCTTTTTTGGCGTGCAGCTGCAAAATGTATGTATCATTTGTATGCTTGATTCGACTAATTCGATCCATGGTAATAGGAGACAAATCCGTCTCTTGCTCTCTATTTTTTTTTTCTCTCCAGTAATTTATTGTACGCTTATTTGTTTTTGTGGAATTCTAAAGTCATTCGTGATGCTCTTTGTCAGCCGACTTGGTAGTTTTAGCTCGTTACTTTCTGAAAGGCATAATCCAGCTTTCTGTCATCTTAGTAGGGTTGCTGTGCTCCTGTAAGGAACTATGAGGGGTTCTAAATACTTCATGTATTCACTCTGTTACAATAACTGGATATATATTGCTAGAGGTGAAGGGTGTTAATCTGTGTCTGTGGTTGCATATGAGCTGATTTGTAGCATTTTACTGTAACAGATTTTATTTTTCTTTCTTATTTTTTCAGATTAAAATTTGTATTTTAGTTGTACAGACGTAAATATTTGTAATTTTTTTTTCTATCATTGATAAAAACACTTATGTTCTAAACATCGACACATTTTGGTAGCGTCTCGCGGAGACGAAAAGAGTAGGGTGTTCAATCGGTCGAAACTGAATCGAACTAATTGAAATTCAGTTAATCGAAATTTTGGCTTTTCCAACATGAACACTGAAAAACGAACCAAAATTTGTGGTTCGGTTTGGTTCAAACCAAAAAATTTGTCGGTTTGATCGATTCAGTTACCTGTTAGCTAGTAAAATAGAAAAAAAAAATCTACAAGTCGTTAGTTACAACAATAGCAATAGCTAGGTAATTAGTAATTTCACCAAGCCAAACTAAAATGTATATTAAAAAAAAAAAAAGATGACTTGTCAAAAAATACAGATCTATCAAGGCCTCGTTTACTAGCAAGGTTGGGATTAGATAACTTAATCCCTTGAAAATGCCACGTCAGATTGCATCCCATGTTTACCATGCATGATGGTATATTCGTCCGATCTTATCCCCTGTTTACCAGTAAAGATAAAATTGTTGTGTTTTTAAAAGCAAAAAGTTGATACAAACGCATGATTACCATTTTACCCTTCTCCCTCATTTTCTCAGATTTTCCCAATTCATTT